GTCTTCTGTTAAGTTTCTCAGGATCCACACAGGAGTGAAAACATTACCATGGAGTGATCTTGATCTCTAGGATATGTTATGTGAAAGAGCAACTTGTGGACAGTGTGCTGTCTGTTATGGATGGAATGGGTGAAATATGAATATGTGTGTGTATTTCCTTTTGTTTCCAAAAACCAATGGAAGAATAAACCAACTAATAAAAATGGTTACTAACTAGGGGGAAGGAAGGAACTGGGTAAGGGGGACAGAAATTAAAGTTAAAACTTATCTGAATGTTCCTCTTTTATAGTTTGGAACCATTTAAGTGTTTTTTTGTTTTTTTTTTTTAATTTTTTTTTTTTTCAACGCTTATTTATTTTTGGGACAGAGAGAGACAGAGCATGAACGGGGGAGGGGCAGAGAGAGAGGGAGACACAGAATCAGAAACAGGCTCCAGGTTCTGAGCCATCAGCCCGGAGCCTGACGCGGGGCTCGAACTCACAGACCGCGAGATCGTGACCTGGCTGAAGTCGGACGCTTAACCGACTGCGCCACCCAGGCACCCCTAAGTGTTTTATATAGTTCTGAAAATTAGATCAAAAAGAAAAGGCAATCTTAAAAATTGAAAACAAATGAACCTAACTATATTAAGTTCTTGTCATAATCACACAAATAATTATTTTTAGTATCTTTAAATCCTAGTATTTTGACTGTACATTGTCAGCTATGTCTTAGGAAAAGAAGAGCAGCAAAGGAATTTAAGTTGCACTCAGTCATCTTGTGATTAATAATATTGGTATTGTTGTTTTACCACTGTTTGTAATAAGATAAAACATGTAACAATATTACCAAGATTTTGAGTGTGAAAGAAGACATACAATTATAAAGTAAGCTAAGTAGAAACTCTGTAATGTTAAATTTGAATCGGAAATACCAGAGTGAACTCATTTACTTTCAAAATGCAAGTTTTTAATTTTGATGAAGTCCAATTTATCAGTTATTTTATTTCTTGTGCTTTTGGTGCTGTGTCTAAGAAACTGTTGCTTAATCTAAGGTCCCAAAGAATTATTCCTATGTTTTTTTAAGGATCTTATAATTTTAGGTTTAAATTTAGGTCTGTAATCCATTTTGAAGTTTTTTTTTAAGTTTATTTATTTGAAGAGAGAGCATGCAAGGGGGGCGGGTCAGAGAGAGGGGGAGAATCCCAAGCAGGCTCTGCACTGGAAGCGCAGAGCTCGATGTGGGGGCAAGATCTCAGGAATTGGGAGATCATGACCTGAGCTGAAAACCAAGAGTTGGACACTCACCCAGCTGAGCTACTCAGGTGCCCCCCAATTTGAGTATTTTATGTATGGGGTGAAGTAAGCATCCAAATTAATCATTTTGCATAAGGATATCCATTTGTTCTAGTACCATTTATTGAAAAGACTGTTTTAAAAGTCAATTGGCAAAAAAAAAAAAAAAAAAAGAATCAGAAGTCAGTTGGCCACAGATGTTTATTTTGGGACTCTCAATTCTATTTCATTGATGTCAGTCCTTATGCCAGTACCACACTTTTTTTTTTTTTTAGTGCGTGTGAGCGGAGGGCAGAGAGAGGGAGAGAGAATTCCAAGCAGACTCCATGCTCAGTGCAGAGCCCAACATGGGTCTCGATCCCACAACGGTGAGATCATGATCTGAGCCAAAATCAGAAGTCAGATGCTTAACTGACTGAGCCACCCAGGCCCCGCCGTACCACACTGTCTTGATTACTGTAGCTTTGTAGTGCATTTTGAAATCGGGGAGTGTGAGTCCTCCAGCTTTGTCCTATTTTTCAAGGTTGTTTTGATTATTCTGGGTCTTTTGCATTTCCAAAGGATTTTAAGGTCAGCTGGTCAATTTCTGTAAAAAAAATTAGCTGGGATTTTGATAGGGGTTGTGTTGAATCTGTAGATCAGTTTGGGGAGTACTGCCATCATAATTATATTAAGTTTTCTAATCTATGAACATGGGATATCTTTCCATTTCAGAATTTCCATTTTAACAGTGTTTTATAGTTTTCAGCATACAAGTATTGCACTTTTATTTTTGTTAAATTTATTCCTAAGTATTTTTTTATGCTATTGAGAATGGGTTTTTTTTTTTCCAAAATAAGTGAAAATTATTTTATTTTGTATAGATAAGTAGCCAGGCAGTTTCAAAGTAGAGTTACATGTACATCTGTTCTAGATAATGACAGGAAGATAATTTTATGTGTTTTGTGTTTTTAAAGATGCGCCTTTCAAAAATATGCTTGCACTTTTATACATTTGGATTGCTTTGTTAATTTCATTCTTTGGATTTTTTGTTGTGAGTATATATTGTTCTTGTATTGTGTGACCTTGCTGAACTTGTTTATTCTCATTTTTCAGTGAATTCCTTAGAATTTTCTGTATACAAGATTCATGTTGTTTGTGAATAAAGACAGTTTTACTTAATCTCAATACGGATGCCTTTTGTTTCTTTTTCTTGCCAAATTGCCTTGGCTAGAGTCTCCACCATAATGGCAGATAGAAGTGGTGAGTAGTTTTTTTTTTTTTTTTTCAATATATGAAGTTTATTGTGAAATTGGTTTCCATACAACACCCAGTGCTCATCCCAAAAGGTGCCCTCCTCAATACCCATCACCTCCCCTCCCCTCCCTCCCACCACCTATCAACCCTCAGTTCTCAGTTTTTAAGAGTCTCTTATGCTTTGGCTCTCTCCCACTCTAACCTCTTTTTTTTTTTTTCCTTCCCCTCCCCCATGGGTTTCTGTTAAGTTTCTCAGGATCCACATAAGAGTGAAAACATATGGTATCTGTCTTTCTCTGTATGGCTTATTTCACTTAGCATCACACTCTCCAGTTCCATCCACATTGCTACAAAGGGCCATATTTCGTTCTTTCTCATTGCCATGTAGTACTCCATTGTGTATATAAACCACAATTTCTTTATCCATTCATCAGTTGATGGACATTTAGGCTCTTTCTATAATTTGGCTATTGTTGAGAGTGCTGCTATAAACATGGGGGTACAAGTGCCCCTATGCATCAGTATAGAAGTGGTGAGTAGTTTTATATTGTTCCTTAGTGGGGAAGCATATTTTATTATTAAATGTGATGTTAGCTGTAGGTTTTTCATACATGCCCTTTGTCAGATTAAAGAAGTTCTCTTCCTAATTTGCTGAGGGTTTTTATTATGAATGGCTGTTGGATCTTGTCAAATCATTTTTTTTTTTTTTGCACCTGTTGAGATAATTTATGATTTGTATTTCTTTTCACTTTCAGTTTCCGGTTCCTCATATGAAGAGCTTAGAAGTAGCCACTGTGTCCCTAACAAGGAAAAAGCTGAAGAGATGGAGAAAGCAACAGTTCTTCTTGGGTCCAGAGAGAGGGAAGGATACAAGATAAACTGCGTCCCCCTAGTTTGGAGAGTGGTATAGAGAACAATGGATTTGGAATCGGGATGTGGTTTGAGGTTCAGCTTCCACCATGTCCTTTTAACTTTCTAAGTTCAGTTTACTTACTAATAAAACGAAGATGATTGCCAGCCCAACCCAACTCCAAGATTCTTCGTAAAATTGTGGAAATCACTATGCAAATAACTAATATTATTTTATAGCAGTCATTTATATAATAAGTACATATTATTCAGTAATAAAACTGGACCACTTTCAGTGGAAGGAAAAAATAACTCCTTAGGCTCCAATGAACACTTTGGCCAGTACTGTAGTTGCTGGGTTTCTGCTCTTGAATCACTGTCCTGTGAATTGCTCCTACTGGGAACTTGGCTACTTATAGAGAGTCTAATCCCTAGGATTTTGTTCCTGTTCTTACTTCTCTCCTTTTCTTACAATTTATGCAATAGTAGAGTCTTGGGAAATACGTGATTTTGGTCTTAAAGACTAACTTGATACAGTACTGTAAAGATCTCATAAAAGTGTGTATAATTTTTTGATATTACATACCAGATTTAGTCAAAGTCTGTTAGTATATTTAATTCTAGGCCCTGTTTCAAGTAGGCTTGGAGTAGCAGTGTGGCATAGAAAGAGAAATGGAGTGGGAGTTTGGGGAAATGTTATTTAATGTTGGTTCTATTCATTGACCATATTTATTTACTCTTTGTGAGGACTTCTTTGGTTTTCATTCTTAGAGCAAATAAATGGGTTTGGCCCACATGACTGTTAGGAGTCCTTCTGGCTCAAAAGTATATAATTCTTGAGTGCTCCACCAGAAAATAAGTTTAGAGGTTAGGTGATAAAATACTATTATATAAAATATATAATAAAAATTCATAATTCTAGCTGGCAATACTTTATTCCTTCAGGTTGAAAGTACTTACAACTTCACATATAGGAAATACAAATGATATAGAAACTAAATAGCAGAGACACAAGCACTAAAAAGCATTAACCAAAACTTGTTTTATGGTAAATACTACCTTTATTTAAAAAAGTTATACATGCTAGAAAAAAGCATAAATGATACATGTAAACAACTGTTTACCAAATACTTAGTTCTTTTCCTTGTAAAGGTGCAAATGATCTTTAAATGTAAACACAAAGTTGCCAAACATTTTTGTAGTTGGGGGGAGGGAGGAGAAGGTTATTCCTTTTGGTTGTGGTTAAAGTCTTATTCAAAGAATTTCCTGCAAAATACACTGAAAAAAATTGCTCTATGAACACAATGATAAAACTTTGACCACTGAAATTTGTATCATTTTTTTCCTTAAAAATTTTAACTTTTCACCAGAAAGTGCAATTTGAGAGAAGTAGTTAACAGTGGCTTTATAGAATGAAGATAATGATATATAGTTTGTATAAAAGAACCAAGGTTTTATTAATAAAATGCCTCAGTTTTACTCATTAGCATGTACTATTACACGAACTGAAGAATTCATTCTCTTGGAGGCTGTGATTATAGGTCAGCCTCAGCTTCAGCAGGCCTGAGCGTCAAGTGTAAATTGCGTAACAGTATTCACTGCTGGGGAGAAGACGTTTCTCCCTGCTGGTCCTTAGTAGCAATAAGGAAACAAGAAGGAAAGTTGTTTCAGTCAGTAATATTTTTGAGCAAAAAGTCTTGCAGAGTAGCACATGATTCTATCGGAGGATTCTCAACAGCATATAAGAATTGTATAGTGTTTTTACAGAGGCACTGAGCAGAGCTCTGGAGCTACCAGAAATTCTATGAAAATACCATCTTGAAAAAAGACTTTAAATATAGTGGAAAACAAGTTCGTATGGAAGGAAACAAGATGCAAACTTCCACTGATGAAAACTTTAGTGTCTGAGTCCTGGTTTTATCTATCCAATATTCCTTCTGAGTTGTACTATTTAAAATGAGTGTTTCCTTTCTGTTTAATATTTTCAAGTCTTCTGGTGCTTAGTGCAAGGATGATGGCCAAATAATACAGTTTGCATCCCTATCTTTGTCACTGGTGGTCCTTGTAAGTAGTGGAGCCATGTGGATGGAGTGCCTGGCGATAACAACTAGATCGTGTACAGCCCTTCTCCCCTTATTAGTATTTTCAAACTTAGTATCTTAGAAATTAACTTTTGCTGCTTGGGAGTTTTTTACGTTTTTTTCCTATCCTTTTTTTCCTTTTTTAGTGGGAGGAAGGTTAAATCCGAAGCAAAACAGGATGAAGCAACAACAAAACCCAACAACAACAAAAAAACCTATGATAAATTAAAACCAAAAATAAATATTCTGCACAGAATTGAAAATTTTTGTGCAAAGGTGGCATCTTGCAGTTGAAGTACTTTCACTGTATTTATATTTCCATATGTTGAGGCACCGGCAAAGAATAAAATTTGTTCTAATGTTTTCTTGAGCTGTACAAAGCTCCAAAGTCAAAGCTCTTCAGAATACAGAGGAGCGTATACGACTGTCTTCTAGATGTTCACCATATATGGGATTCACAATGTGTCATTTTAATAACTCCTACACCACCCCCCAGCCGACGGTAATTCATCCCGCCATATAACCTGCAAAGAAAAATAAAATCAGATTTCAAAGTGGAAAAAACACTGTTTCTTCTATAACTTAGATGTAAATAAAACACATTTTCTATCACAACTAATATTTTTATTCTTTTAAAAGTTTATGTGTTTATTTTGACACAGTGGAAGAGAGAGCATGAGCAGGGGAGGGAGGGGCAGAGAGTGAGGAGAGAGAGGAGAATCCCAAGCGGGCTCCACACTGAGCCCAACACAGGGCTTGGTCTCATGAACTTGTGATCTCGTGACCTGAGCCGAAATTAAGAGTTGGACGCTTAACCAACAGAGACACCCAGGCGCCCTGCACAACTAATTTCGCTTCATACATCTCTTCCAAAGATTAGGAGCTGGAATTGAACACTGGCAAGTAGCAGAATTATTTAAGACACTGGCTGAAAAGGTCTCACTTAGAGGATACTGTTTTAAGAATAAGAGCATCGTATCCACATTTCGCATCATGACTTTAAAACTTTACACCTAAACTGATTTCGAACAATTACATAGAATCATATATTCTACATTTTTGTGTCTAATTTTGACCATGGCTATATGATTTTCCTACCCACACTTCCCTCTGCCTAAACAGCAACTATTTTTATCCTTTTGTCTTCTATGTCTTCTTACAAGCCTCCTCCTTTATGGAACAAACCTGGATAGGAGTGAATAAGGTCAGCATCGAGTTTGTGAACAAGACCATCTTCAAAAGTACAGATTTCCATGGAAAAGAGGATTAGATCCTTACAGCTGTAAGGTAAAACTGGTTTTAAGTCTGAGACAAAAATAGAGATCGTAATCTCTCAAACGATGGTTAAGAATTTCCTAAATATTACTTGGTCATATGTTACTAATTCTATTTAGTGATAGTTACTGAGAAACAGGTCATTACATAGGATCATAGTGATTAAGCAGTCAGAAGAAAATTTGGCTATCTTCTCAAATTTCCACTAAAAAAGGAAGCGGAGTGTGTAAGAAAATATGCCACAAGGGGGGAGGGGGCTCCTATTCATAAAAACCTCCTGCTATCTCTCCCTTACCTCTAGTGGGTTTTGCTAAAATGTTTACCTTTGCAGTGAGGCCTGCTAGGCTATATTTTAAAGTGGAAACTCCTCCTTGGACACTCCCACCCCCTTTGCTAGTCACCATAGAGCTTCTACCCCCTGATATGTTACTTCCAGTCTCAGAGAAGTTTGTTTGGGGTGCCTGGGTGGCTCAGTCAGTTGAGCAATGAACTTTGGCTCAGGTCGTTATCTCATGGTTCGTTGAGTTCGAGCCCTGCTTTGGATCCTCTGTCCCCCTCTCTCTCTGCCCCTCCTCCACTTGCACTCTTTCTCAAAAATAAATAAACATTAAAAAAAAAAAGAAGTTTGTTTTGTTCACTGTTGTATCCCAGGGTCTAGAACACTCACTCAGTAATACTATCTTTACTTAATGAACCAAGATTGTGAAATGTGATGCAGAAGCCCAAAGTGCTACAAAATCTGACTTTTAGTCTGACTTCAGTATTGTGACCAAGTCTTACAGAGACATGAGAGAAGCAGAATCCAAAGCTTGTCATTTAAATATCTGTAAAAGTATGGCTTTCCCAGACATGAAGACTATAAAAAGATCTCAGTACATTCATTAACTGAACCTTCTAGAATGACGAAAAGATCTGGGTGGGTAGTTACAGGCTCAAATTTACAGAATGTCTACTTAGAATGCAGCAGGAATGGACTATGAGACAGACCCTTTTGGAATAAGGACTACAAAGATCTCAGCTTATCTTTCATGTTCATGAAAAAGATCTTTCAGAATGTCTGCTGCCTCACATCCCAGGCCAGACTGGGATCTGTGGTTCCCTTAAATGTATTTAGGCAAATAAGCCAAATTTATTGAGAAAGAAAACCCATGTTGCTTGGAAGGTAAAACTGTTTTCTTAGAAGGCTAATATTTGGAATTAAGTATAGACAGGAGGTACATCCAACCTATAGTATTAACATTTTGTATTAAGTTTGAGAATTAACTATATATTTGACATTTTAAGTTCTTATAATATTTAAGCAACTCTGGTATATTAAGGCATCTATCAGATTAGTTTTGTGAATCGAGTATAAAATGTGTGATTGAGTAAAGATCTGGACTTATGATTTTGTTTTAAAATTTAAGAGAATTTTGGGGCGCCTGGGTGGCTCAGTCGGTTGAGCGTCCGA